GGCACCATTTCGATGTAGTCAGTCGGTGTTTTTTTAATCTATCATGGACACTGGGCACTTAAAATGTGAAAACTTATGATTTTGGCAGTGTTGCATTTTGAATGTATGCAGTTTTCACATTAATGGACCAATATGACGAATATTTCGTAATACTTTTAGGCTGAAAAACGTATTTTTTAACGTATCTTTTCTCTAAATTATTTCAAATATTAAATTTCAAACACATGCACATTTTTAGGATAAAACTGTATTATTTCAAAAAATAAAATAAAAATGATTTAGTTATTCTATTTCAAGTTGCATTAAAAAGTATTTTTGTCCATTTTTTTAAATACTTATTAGGGATGTTTGTATCTTTTGGGATTTAATACTTTGTGTTTACATAGTATTACATGTCCGAAACATAAAACTTTGGACGCATACACCATAATCCTTTACATAGAAAAATGCACCTAACGTTCAGTCTACAATGATTAATTATGAATGCTTTGATTAGTAATTGTCAGATTGGTGTTCTATATGATGATTAATGCATAATGTTTAAGAGAGAGAGAGAAAAAAATCTGCACCCACATTTTATACTTTTTAGACGATACAACGATAGAGTAACATTCAACACCCTGAAAAGCTGTACTCAAATCCCAGAATTTTGGAACAAGTACATAAAGAAGTAATGAAATATCTGTTTTACTGAACGAATCGGATAAGAGGATTTCAACATGTGAAACAAGATGGAAACGAATATTTGCAAAAGGGTTAAAAAGACTCAAATTGTTAGAGTCAAAATAAACACTTGAATTGAGAAAAAAGAAACAGACTATTGAAAATACAACATTTTTTATCGACCAGAAAACGATAGTAAATACAAAATACTTTTCAAATGGAGAAAATGAGCTTTGAAAAATTGATTTGAACGTCACAACAGATAACGTTTTTACAACATTCTGACCGATTCGATTTCGTTCCAAGTTGGAATTGCAGTTTTTTGGAAGCGAGATGCAACGGGATATAGAGCATTTCCATACCATTATGTAAAATAGAAAAAAATGCATAATTTAACAGAATATACATTTACTTCGGTTTTCTTAATTCTCATCGTATATAAAGGAGAGAATTCCATTTTAGTATCATCCATTATACCGTACCTATCGTAAATTTCGGTTTAATTATATCCATGCCATTTTTCTCTACAACATGGACGATGTACATTGTACATACACTTTGCATGCATGTGTTCATGAATTTAATGGATTGTATGAGGAGTTTGCAAAACATTTGCGAAAATCCAAATTTGTTGTTATTTTAGTTTTGCTAAAATTCTCAGTAAATCAATAAGTAATAAACATTATGATGCGACAGACTTCAAAAACAACATTCGACAAACCTACTTGGTATGAGGATGTGTTTCGTTCATTCTTAAATACAATAAAGTTGTGTCTGGAATTAAGGCTCAAATTCAATCCAGTAAAATCAGAATTCATAATTTTTGCGAAAAAGATAATAATTATCTTCTGATTTGTGCGTGAGATTTTTTACAGCGTATGAAAAAGACTGTATACTCACTTTCTGGGCAGAAAACATCCGGAAATAGCACATATGCGGCATAGAAATCCGGTGCATCGTTGGGCCTTCTTGTTATGTTGGAGCATCTTTGCCATTGACGTACTTATAAACCGACTTTAGCTAAAAATATATAAAATGTAAATAAAGTTTATTTCTGTTGGCATTTCTAATATAGTTCATTTTCATAAGGGTAAACAATTTGCACACAAACATCTCGAAAAGTGCCCGACTAAACCGCAATGGTAATACAACAAACAGACTGTTTGCTATCTATTTATGACGTGGAAAAAGTTTTTCTGTGTATATACATATACAATGCATTGAGTATATATATATATAATATTCATTGAAATGACGATAGACAGCTAGATGTGTCTGTGCACACTAAAACATGAGAGCACGTACTCGTATCTATGAATATATCGTATTTGTAATAACAGAGAGTGGCCACCAGAAAACAGTTCTCGGTGAAATTGAGAAAAGGGAAAATGAATGGGCTAGCCAAATGTTTTGTAACATACCATGTTCAATCGAAAGCAGATGTGTTCATGCAATGTGAGAGCATTGTCATTGTCGTTTATGTGTTTCAAGACTAATTCATTCATTCTTTTGGCGTTTGCCGGAATGAGAATTGGAGTAATATGTTGTAGAAAATCACTCATAAAATCATAAAACGAAATTTTACACTGGTTTTCGCTTTTCTCGATTTTATCGTGTGAATTCAGGTCATACTTTTCTTATCTTATATAAATCTTAGATGCATTTTGAAGCGAAAACATATAGAGAAAATTGAATTTCAACAGTAAAGCAGAATAAAGTGGACAAATGTCAAAATTTTGTGTTGTAGCGGTGCACAAATTCCGAACTGAATCCGAACGTATTATGTTATTTTTTTGCTCTTGTACATTGCCATGAACTAAATATTATTATTGAAGACTGTGTTGGCCTCGGCTTAGTCACTTCGAATGGAATAATATTCATTTCAACATGCCTTTCAGCTGCACATTTTCAATTTTCTATTTTGTAAAGAAATTTTTTCCGAGAAGAGAAAAAAAGAAGAAGAAGAATGAAATGATGTTTGAAAGATAGAAACATAAAGCATAGCAGTGATTGCCCTTCGACCATTCCAAGCTGATGGATTGAATAAGAAGAACTATATGGATTATAAAAGGATTCGTAATTCAAATGTTATGCAGAAGAATACGTTTGTGTTATGAATTGTGAGTCAGAACGCACACAAACACAGAAAAAGTGATTTTGCTACGAACTGTGTAATTCGTTGCAACTTCAAATACGTTGAATGATTTCCATATATTTGAACAGTGTAAACTAAGAGAACGGTTGAACAGTTTTTAGGAAAGGAAAAAAAAGAGCACATCATCATGCGAATGAATGTTTATACGTTTATTTTCTCATGATTGCATAATCAAAATGGGGGATAATCGCAAGGTGCTCTTTATTTACGATGACGATTGGGCGATACGGAATGCTATCCAAACAGTAGCATTTGTAGTTGTACAAATTTTCCTATCATAGCCAAACGATTGCCAAACGATTGCCAAACGACTTTGCGATATAGAATACATCACAATCCATCTATAGCGCTAATGCAACCAAAGCTCGATAAACGAAGAAATCAATTATTTATATTACCACAATAAATCGTTCAGGATTGAAATTGTTGGAACAAAATGAGCTTCTCATTCGGATTCGCCTCTCTCTCCCTTCTTTTTTTACATTGAAAGACGGGATATCATTTAAGCTCTGAAAATTAATTTGTGGTCTCCATGCCAGGACGTTTCGAACGTAAAAACGTAAATACACAAATATTGTGCAGTCCCTTTGCGTTTCTCTTTGAAATACTCTTTCTCTTAACCGGCAACAAGAGAAATGTGAAAATATTGTTTGTACCATGCTCAACAACTTGTCTGGAGCAGGTTTATCAACATATTTATGCGTGGAAAAACGTTTAACTGTTTCAGTCACATGGCAAACTCTCAACATTATTCTTTATGTGCTGGTTATATTGACGACCGGCAACGGTTAGTACATTTTAAGCTATGAAAAACGGTTCATCGAAAATAATAATGATCGATTAGCATTATTTTATTTTTAAAAAAAACACACACTGACAAAAATATGTACAAATAGGACTTTATTTCGTATTCACAAAGCATGGTGTGCATCGTAATTGGAAACAATTTGAATTTAAATGCATCGATATTATTCGCATCAAACAAACCAATTAGTGTGACGCAATGGCAAATAGAGTACAATCAGTTTCTCAAACCAAATCCAATTCAATTTATATCAATGATAAAGAATATGCATTTTTTCAATAATTTATTTTCAAAGCTGGATCCATTACAAACTTGACATATTTTATTTGAACATATTTGCAGTTCGTCAGCATTGCATGCGTTCACTCACACAGTGATCGTCTTCATAAAATCGGTGAAGACTCATCGATTTATTGAGACCATTGACTCATCATCGATTGTATGAGCAGCACAATCTGTTTTAGCGAACGTTGTTTTCTGCGCTTGATACAGTTTTTATAGCATTTTTTATGAGCCATAAAAGAGAACTGTACAAACGTTGATTTCGGAATGCCCTTCTATTTATCGTTGGTTTTTTTTTCTTCATATTTTTATAATCAAAGTTTTATAATTAGTTCAACTATTTGCAATAATTAATGGTTTCCTTTGCAATTGATTTTAGCTCATAATTTCGAGCTGATTGGCAAACACTTTTTTCAAGACTCTTGGGTTATCTTTAATTGTTTTTTTTTTTATTTCTTTGACTTATTTTGTAGTCCAATAAAAAATGCTTTTGTAATTAGTGAAAGATGCCGTTCGAAATTATTTTTCTGCAGTTGAAGTGCACACACATAAAAAAAAAACTGGGTTAACGATAAAGTCAATGAGAACGGAAATTCAACAGTCATATGGTAGTTATCCAATTGCTATTTTATGAAGTTATACACTTTCAGCTGATATCACATTTTGACTAGTTTCTCCTTGCACTTCGTTTATTACTAATATGGCATAAAAGTGTCTGTCCATGGTTTTCATCGTTGACAGTTTGTAAAGTGGAAATCTGTTAGTGAATATCTGTAGCGTACGTCTTACAACAACAACATTTAAGCTCATTTTGTGGCTGATTAAAAAAAAATGAAGAAAACAAACTAAAATACTGTTGACGACAACTAGTGCACATCGTTGCATTTTCAAACTTTCAACTGCACTGATTTGAAACAAGTTCTTATGATTTAATCCCCAAAAATGCAATTTCCCAAAGCTGTCGTTTTCAATCACCACACGACCAAAAATATTATCGATAAAACATCTACGGCAAAATGCATTTAACCAACACAAATTGAAATGCTGAGCAAAAAAACAACCGGTACCTAATTCTGTCATTTATTTTCATTTCAGGACGGAGATTTGATGTTGAAAACTGCATTAATTGAACTCATATTGGCTGCTCGATATTTTCAAATGTTAATTGTGCAAATTTAACCTTTCGGTGACAGCGTAGTGTGACATCAGTTTTCGAAACAATAATTTAACACTGATAAAACGTGCAGCACATTCATATCGATGTGTGGATGAAATGATATGCGGTCTTTGCGGTACACATAGTCAATGCAATCCACGTTTTAAATTACATAAATGAACTTTTCATAAATAACATTCATTAAATTTGCACACAAAGTAACAACGTCTTCAATGGTAAGTAATTTTTTATGAATGCTAATAAAATTCAAGCCCACTCTTAACGACTGGTTACAATTTAAAAAAAAAAACTAACAAAGTATCGCTTCACAAACAAACGGAAAAGAAAAGAACCCACTTTCATTTTATCACAATGTTTGAATCTACGTAATATTTTTATAATTTTAATTATCTTTTAAAATAGTCCTTCACTCATTGAAGTGTTAGTGAGTTTAAATAATGAAAAAGAACATTATAGGCTATGGTTCTCAGTTCTCAATAAAGAAAGAAGATGAAAGAGAAGAAAAAAAATACACCAAGTTGGCCAACTAGTTCTTTCAAGCAAAGATCTTATGAACAACTCTCTAGCTTTAGTTGAGAAAGTTGAGAATATATTTTATATAATATCGGTGTGCTGTGAGCTCAAGTTCTCCGTCATAGATATCCATTTAGTTTAAACGAGTTTGAATGAAATAATGAAAGAATGTGAGATACAAATATACATTCTCATTTTTGAGTGCTATTTAGGTAAAATGGAAAAGGAGAGTAGATTTAATAAGGATTTTTCTCGTCTTTGTTTCGTGTGAGATTTTTTTTTTGTGTTTCTCACATGTTTTTGAAGTTATTCACTTTAAAATTTGCAAGCAAAAAAACGTAAATTCTTCAAAGCAAAAATGATAGTTTTACACATTGAACAGCCTTCAATGGCTATACATAACTATAAAGAAGCAATATAACGACATCATCGTCACTAGTTAATTCAATTACGATGCAATGAAACACAAAACTCAAATACAAGAGAAGGATTTATGACATAATTATTTTCATAGGTTTTTCTTTTATTTTAATGACGCTGCTACATTGAAATGATGTAAAGAAAGAAATTATCAAAAGCCTAATAATCACACTTAAACATTGTATAAGATGAATTATTCCATTTATTTTCTAGTTCTTTTTTATGTGTGATCAAATCATTATTTTGTAGGTGTTGACGTCGTCTTGACGAGTGGAACCAAAAACCGATAGGTTTTCTCAGTTTTTTTGCCGAAAAATTAAGGACCTAAAATAGGTCATCAACTCTGATCCGAACCCCTTTTACCCTGTATAAAATTGATTTTGGCGAGAATTTAGCCCCCACAGAATTTTGTCACTAAACCACCCCCCTCAAAAAAGTCCCTTCAACACCTATAATTTTGCCATACCGGAAAAATCCTTACTCAATGATGAATATTTCTCTTTTTAAGCAGAAAATAAGTCACATTTTATTTCATTCAATTGCACTGACTGTATTTTGACAATTTTAAAATTAATGTTTATTTTTGGAACGTTCAAAATGGAAACAAGTCAAGAGTCATTTTTTTTTACTGAAGTCGTATACTACACGATTGAGAGTTAAGTATGGAAATTCATATTAAAATTTTGCCATAGCTAAAGCCAGGATAAAGATGCCGAAGGGCCAAAAATTTTTATATTTATATGTAATAAGACATTGATAGAAACACTCTGTCGCAATAACGGCACAATTTATCACCAAATGTGTAAAAAAAAACCATTTCATTTTTGAACAAAACAAAAAATGAATGTCACATTGTATTTTGTGCGTTCGAAATCAACCATGAAAAATGTTCAAAAGTTAGATTATGTCGAAATATTCTGTATTAAATTCATCGAAGTTCGGATTTTGAAATAATTTTTCATTTTTCGTCATAATTTTGATCGTTTCCATTAGCATCATTGAAAAGAAGAAAGCAACGCGAATTTATTCGCAATTATAAATTTCCATTATGCGAATATCTCGATGATACCTCATCACCATCATCATTATAAAAGTTTATCTGCAATATAGCGCATTTTTGTGTCATTGTTCATTTTCTTAACCTATAGGCTATACAGCTATATTTACTTGGCCGTCGTTTTTCATCTTTTTGAAATAAATGCCGTTAAGATTTTATATATATATTTGTATGGCAGCATAATTTTATTCGTCTTCATCTATGCACGACCTTTTTCCTTATCATGATTCCGTTTCAGCAGTTTATTACGCGTCGGCATCGTGTGCTAAGAAACACGTAACCAAAAATAATAATAAAAAAAACACGATAGCAGAGAGAAAGAAAAAAAAATCAGAAAAAGTTTTAACTTCACATTTCGTATGGCAATGTCTTTTTCCACCATTTCTGTTATTTTTTTTCTTCTTGTATTATTTTCTTTTACTTGTATCGCCTGTTGTGCGCCATTGTCGACCTAAAACAACAATACATGATTGATTACAATATTCCGTGTGAAGTATTTATGAGCGACAATTTGTGTTCGCATTACATTGGAATTGTTTGGGGCGGAAAGAATGGTGCGGGGGACTCTGCGTATTTTCACAATTTTCATCATTACAAAAATGTGCAATAGCCATCATTCATTCGTTCTGGCCAATTATAGCATGTTGTGAAAATGCAAAACGACATTGGCTCCATTTGATTCCCTTTCTTCGTTTGATTGCCTTTGAGCAGAAACTTAAATAATGTTGAAATAGAATATTCGTGTCGCAAATCCTTATTTTACCATTAGGAAGAAGAAGAAGAAGCAAAAAAAAAAGAAATTTCGTGTACTTAAATATGTTGATTAAAGAGTCGACAACTTTTTGACAATTATTCGTCAGATCTAGTTGACGAGACTGTTCATTTTCCAGGCACATGGCAATCGGGATCGCAATTACACAAATGGAAAGAGATGGCGGTAACTTTTTAGCGCTAATAATAGTGTACCGCACAGGCAGCGAAACCAATTTGTGTGCACAGAAAAAAAAAACAAGTTGTTAATGTACAAACGAAAACGCAATTCGATTCCATTTGCAAAACGAATGAAACCAAAAGATAGAATGGGGTGCGTGTAAAACATTGGTTATAATATTAATCGTCAACCCTCCGCTGCAGTTTCGTGGAAAAAGGGTAATCGCTTTCTAGGCAAAAGATGTTGAAGAAGAAAAATAAAAGGACAAGAGAAATCTTGATACCATGTTGATGGTAGCCGGCTAATTATTGTCAATCATTTATTGAGAACTTCTAACATTTTGCTATGTGTGCTAAAAATCATGAGGGACAATTCACTCTAATTTAATTGTAATCAAAATTTGAAAAAATATCGCTATTCACAAGGGAATTGATGGAACCTTTGCAAAGTGTCTCTCGGGCTATTTACTGATTCATCGTTCAAATTACAAACTCATAAAACTCTTTAATAAATAAATTAATATAATATTCTTTGGATGCATCGATTGAAATCGCATTGATGTGTGTAATCGATATCTTTTCGATAATTGAATAAGTTTGCTTAATTCTCTCATACTGACCAGCATTATGAAGTTCAATTATACTTTTGGTAGCATACAACCCAGTCAATATAATATTTAAGTACATCACTTTTCCTATTTTCATTATAAATTGAAATTAGCACTATTCAAGTAAGATTACTTCCAATTAAGTAGTGGCAGTTATCAACAGACGTGCGCACGGTTTGTCCATCAAAGGGGGGTCACTTAAAATCAATCTCGGGGGTATTTATGTGATTTTGTATGAGAAAATCATGTGAAAATGCATGTTCGTGAGCGGAAAAAGCGGAAATTTTGCAAGTTTGACAAAAAACCACTTAAAAATCAGTGTATTCTTGCTAGATTTTTAAACACTCGAGTTAGATTTGTAAAAAAAAGTTTTCATCGGAAGGGGTTCAAACCGGACACCTCCCGACGCACATGTGTGGTTACCAAATTAGACTTGAAATTATTCTATAGAAACACAGCTTACATTGGTTTAAAGACATGAAGTATTTTAAATATATTTCTCATTCCAATCGATTCGATAGATTATTTAAAATCATTGAAGACAGATGAAAACAATGAGTGTAATTCATATAGATTTGTTTTGCTAAAAATGTTTTATTCTGGATAGAATATGAATGTGTGACAATCAGATATACTGGATTTAGATCAATGACACCAAAATCAGTAGCTAATAATAATGAATATGGACATTAAGTGAGACGGTATAGCTATTGAAAAAGCATGTAAGCCGTTAATGGTTGTTGACTCAAAATGCTGTTTTATAAATAATTTAAATCGTCATCAATGATTGTTCGGCTCGGTCTAATCGTGTTTGGATACTGTTGATTTTATTCTCGAAAATTAGAGCTTCATACTTCAAAATTCATCATTATTCGAAAAGCGAAATGGTGTGTATATGTATGTGTATTTGTTTATGTAAATCGATGTGCATATCGTAGATATACCGTTCCACATGTGCGATTCGATGTTAATGTATTTAAAACATTAAAATTTTAAGTCTGGAAACCAAACCATTAATTATATTTGCATACTTCCCCTTGCGCCATATTTGCGTTGACGTCAGTAGTGAATGCGGTGGTTGTGGCTGATTTCTAATCTAGCGCCGATTTACAATAAATGTATGCAAAAAGCAGTCATTCAAAACCGTATACGGTTCGTATTGAGATTCGCATGTTGCTCGTACGTATTTTGTAGCTAAATCGTGTCGTGTGAGTTTACCATTACAATTTCTCGTACATAATGTATATTTAAGGCGCTGAACCAAACTACGGGCAGGCGACACACAAAATATAGATGCTATTCTATCTGCCTGGCTTAAACGCTTGCAGCCGCCTCGAATCGGATAGATTGAATGGTGACGAAATACAAAGTGCAAAACAAACAAACATTTGGATAAGAGATTGCATCGCAATACAATCCCATTTTCCCAGCGTTTCATTTACAATTTTTTATTTTCATTTCTATTCTGAAAATAGTTTTCGTACACAAATATAATCGCTTTGCTCTCATTTTCTATGCCAAATACAAATAATGTCAATATGAGAGATCCTTTATTGCTATTGTTTTTATTGTCCACCTGTTTGGTGATCTGTACATTAAACCAATTCGTTGTGATACGTTGTTGTGACGGTGCTCAATGTGATGTACATCATCTGTTTGATTTGGGCACGTCGGTCAAGCAAACATT